CCCACTGTATAATCATCTGCACAATCTTTTCGACAGAGATCTGCGACAACTTGGCGAGTGCGATTTCTGACGCCTGTTAGCAACAACGTTTTTTTTGGGTCTACATGACAAGAGCGCAACACTTACCAAACGCTTTGCGCAGATCAGCAGAGATGATCTGCTTCTTGTCATCCTTCTTCGCACCACCTTGGCCGAGTCTTTTCGTTTCCTTGGCCATGAAGAGCTTCTCGACCTCGTCCAAAATGCCCTTGCGACTGAGCTCGAGATACTTCTCCTCACGCTCCTCCGCAGACGGGGTATGAGCGGCCCAGTGCGTCGCCATTGGCGAGTCGACCTTGTCCCAGTGGAGGGCCTTGAGCTTCTTCTTGGGCCGAACCACGGGCAGCCCGATCGAGGGTCCTGTGGAAAAGCTTGCCGTGTTCTGCGACAGGAAGTGTCCAGATATCGCGCCAGGCATTGGGGGCGGCGGCGGAGGAGGCATACCAGGCGCACCCGGCATTGGCGGAGGAGGGGGAGGCGGCGGCGGCGGTGGTGGCCCACCGCCAGGAGAGAGCATGCCGGGCATCGGGGGCGGAGGAGGAGGAGGTGGTGGTGGTGGAGGCGGAGGCGGAGGCGGAGGGGGTGCACCGCCTTGGCCGGGCATCGGGGGTGGAGGTGGAGGTGGCGGAGGTGGCGGGGGCGGAGCGGCGCTGGTGACTTCGATCTTGGGCGTATCGGTACCTGCTGGTGTGACGAGCGGAGCGGACTCCATCGTGGTACCTTCGCCATCCTCCGAGTCGCTGGCGTCGTATTTTTTGAATTTGTTGGCCATTTCGCCGTGAAGGGCGGCTTGCTGTCTGGCATCCACGACGGGCCTTCTGATCTCGACCATACGGGGCACCTCATAGACGACATCGTCGTCCTCGCCATCCTCGGCCAGATCGTCTTCACCGCCGCCAGTGCGAGGACCGACCGGCTTGCGGCTGATCTTGGTGTGGCGTTGGACGCTGCCCAGCATGCTGTTGGTAAAGTCCCTAGGCGGTGTGCCGGCGCCCTGAGGGGCACTGCCGTCGTCCATCTCTTCACGTAGTGCACGCAGACGGTCAGACGGTCCCACGGCGTCACCCCATACCCTGCCTTCGAGCTTGAATTGCGTCTTCTGGCGCTCAATCTGCATCTGCAGACGCTCCATGAGGCGTTCACGGTCGAGGATGCCCTGCATACGTGTCGGGTCCTCTGCTGGGATTTTACTGTTGCCCTTGGCGGCGTTGGATGCCGCGACATCCTGCGCATCTCTGAGCATGAGGTAAAGCTCTCGGGTCTCCAGCTCGTTTGCGCTGTGCTTCTTTCTGACGCACAGTCTGGAGGTCTCGAGTTCGGCCTTGAGCCCTCCGCTTGTCGCCGTTGAGCATGATGAACCTCTGCTGTTCCTCGAGCTGTCTCTGAGCTTC